ACATACCCTTACAGTGGAGGTCTATTTAATGATAATTTGGAGATAATAATAATATAATTTTCTGTTTCTTTGTTTTTATGTGTGACTGGAAATTTCAAGCACACTCCCCAAAGTCTCAGGTAAAGCACTTGGCATCCTCATTGTATACTAAAATTTCTCTCTTTTGATTGGGTAGTGATCTGGTTAGTTTCCGTATCCTTTGATAGTCTTTTCAGTTCATACATGCCTAACCTGACATTTTTCAGGTGTCCAACTTAAATCGTTCTCGTCATTATTGGAAATGATGGTGATTAGTATGGTTATTATAGTAAACATTTCACACTCTTATTAATTCTGTTCTAGAATTGAAGTGTGGGTCTGAACCTTACAATCCCCAGAAAGAAATCTGTTGCTCAGGGAATCTGCATAAGAAGGCATCAGCACTTACTAAGGTATTGCTTTTTGACCTAAAGATTTGCTCTGCAGGAATAGAAATTCCAATAAATTGGAGATTTCTCTGAACACTATGATTTTCAGTAAAATGTGCTTATGAAGTATTTTGAGAAATTGCAGTATACAGTATTCAAAAACTCTGCATACATTGACCTACTATGTTTACCTGTGTCCTTCAGTGCTGTGGCAAAGATGTTTACACTCTGTCAGATGACAATGTGCTGTGCTGTAATGGAATCCTTCATCTCAATGTGCCTGAGCAGTCAGAGTGTGTTGGAGGTGTTATATATACTCCACCAAACACTATTTGCCAAATGTCTGCTCGTCCCCGTCTTGGTGAGCACTGCTGTGGAGGACAAACCTTCAATCCTCGCACACATATTTGCTGTAACAGACACAGGTAGGCCCACAAATACAAAACTTTGATTTGCGTGTGTGTGCACTTGGATGGGATAAATGCAGAGCAAAAATTCAGAGTATAGGACACCATACTTGCAGGGCCGGATTAACATAAGGGCTAGTCTGGGCTGAAGCCCCAGGGCCCAAAGAATGGAGGGGACCTGTGATTAGCTGTGGTGGAAAGGAAAAGTAGACCTTGATTGACTGGCGATCGGGAGCATCCGAACTTTTCCAGGTGGACCGATTGCCGAAACCCACCACGCCCCCACATTTAGCGCTGTTATTAAGCCCAAAGTATACTTTGTTTTTTTTATGCATACGTTAGCCCTCGACAGGTGCTCAACACATGCACACTAGAAAGATTCTTCCTTTCCAGTGTCTGTGCTATTATTCTCCAAAAAGTATGAGCGATATAAATGTATTTGTACTCGTTTACACTAGTGTTGTTATCTATTAATCACCACGCCTTTACTGGAGCTCATGGGAAACAAACACCAAAAGCCAATGAAAGGCGCTACTTGATTAAACTGTGCAGCTTGCCGCTTTTGCCGCTTTATTGAAGTGATAACCAACGGTTTGTCCATTTGAATTCGACACACGCCACTTATAACATTATATGTGAACAATAAAGGCTTTTTAGCTAGCCAGATTAAAAAGACTGACATATTATGCCCCTTTTTACAATATATAATATAAGTCTCTGGTGTCCCCAGAATGTGTCTGTGAAGTTCCAGCTCAACATACTCCACAGATCATTTATTATAACATTTTGAAAATGCCTATTTTGAGTGGAAGCAGAAACACTGTTTTTCGTGCCTGTCTCTTTAAATGCAAATGAGCTGCTGCTCCCTGCCCTCTTTTCCATGACAACATAACGCCGCTCGCATCATTCACAGTAGTGATGGGAAGTCTGGTTCTTTTCCGCGAACCGGTTCTTTCGGACAGTGCGTTTCAATGAACCGGTTCAAAAACGGTTCTTTTACGCCCTAACGTAATGACGTCATTCGCGATGATGTAATGAAATCAAGTCTATCGTCCCGGGCCGGGATGAAAATACACATTCAAAT